ATGATAATAAAACAGAATAAAACACAAGCAAAATACATAATATGTACACAAATTTGAAACCTTGAGTGAAGCGATTCGTCGGAGGAGGAGGAACGGATGGCAGAAATTCACGAAGTACTAACACAAACATGGTTTCATGCACGAGCACAGACAGATGGAGAGACGCTTCTGAGAATGCATCACGGGGTTTATTTAACTTCTGCTACAGAACAGCACTTTCCACGCTATAAACCCTATTTTTTTACGTTTACTAACATTTCCTAAAACTGTTCCAAGCATTTTTTTGTGTGCCAGAACTTTGAAAAACACAAGCCATATCACATGTATTATACTTCCAAGTGTTATCTCTTCGAACCGCCACCTTACATGGTGGAGGGGTTTTAGTGCTTGGGTGATCCTGGAAGCTATTTTGTCGGGGGCTTAATGTCTCATGGCAAAAAGGTCCTAGGCATCAATCCAGAATAAGAGCAGTTCAGAAGACCTATATGATGATGACTGCAAGATCCGCCCAGATTGGGCCCCACCTTGGAGCCAGGCCCGGGGTCGAGGCTCACAGGCAAGGGCTTGGTGGCTGAGTCTGGGCTCTGGAAACCCGCTCATCGAGGGGGACTCTCCACTACTCTGGCGTCATCCGCAGTGAAAGGCAGTGAGCTGGTGTTGGCCAGCCCGTATCTCCCCAGCTCAGCCGCCATGTGTTGGGGTTCTCCCTGGTGAGCGAGAGGGTCGCAACCCTCCACCTTCGGGTGGGGGGGCAGGTCTCTCACTCTTGTTTCGGTCTACAACAGCAGTGTAGAGTACCCGGCTTCTAGGGGTCCCTGGGAGGGGTACTAGATAGTGCTCCAACGGGGATTCCATCATTCTCCAGGGGGCATTCGAAACTCACGTGGCTTTTGACAGCGTGGCTCTTAATTTCATTTAAATTTCAATTCATTTAAAACAGAAGAAATCAAAACTAATAACCTTTTTGAAACCTACATGTTATATTTTAAATCAAAATGAAACAATAAGAGGGCCCACTTAATTCAAAACAACCAGTGTGATTGCCAAATGAACCGGTGCGCACCAAGACTTCTGAGGGTAAATGAATACCCAGGTTAAAAGTTTAGTATAAGCAGTAAAACATGATTACAGATAACCGAGGATTACATATATCTAGGGTTTAGGATTACCCAGGGTCAATGATTTCAAGTGTAAAAAGCCCTCAAGTGAACCTTGAAGAGTTGATGCAGCAGTTGGTGACACCAAATCTCTTTTGCTCAATCACTGCAATTCGTTCTTTGATGAAAATAAATGAATAACTCTTCTATTTTTAACAGCATGTTTCACACCTGGTTAAATCTTTAGCAAAAGTACAGTTTTATTTTATTCCTTAAACTGAAGATCAGAAACTGCTGTACATTTGATTCTTCTATTCTTCATCGTCACAATCAAGTTTCTGTTAGCAGTACAGGTCGTTGGATGGAGTGCAGGCGAGTTCGGAGCGATTAAAAATAGATGGCGAGGGGTGGGAGAAGAGATGAAGGAACATGAATGCAGATGGACAGAACTGAGAGACTCAGAGTTCAGGAAAAGCTAAAAATGAATCAGAGAAGTGCTGAAACTAGGTCTTGAAAATGTTGGCTCTTAGACGATGAGAGAGCAGCTAGTTCCTTCCTTTTGGTGGAGGAGGGATGCTGAGTCAGAGCTTTCACCTCTCATGATGTCCATTATTTAAACAGTCTGTCCACTACAGCCACTCCACAGGAGACCATCCTTGTAGATTATGTATTGATTTAACCTGCAGCAGAACCATTTTTAACTTCCAAGATTGTTCACTTGGCTTGATGTGTTGGGTTCCTTGTATGCCGTGGGCTGGTTTCCATCAGTATTCCTCACACAAATAAGACATTTGTTACATGTATGAGCTGATGGATCACTAAACACACAACTGCCAGCACTGCAGATGTGGTAGATTTCCACAAACAAAGTGTAGCTGCAGTCAGACCTATTTCAATTTAATTGAAAACATGTTTATGTTGAGAAATAAGAATTCATATTTTTATTTTAAAGGCATTTTTTTGTTTGTTTTATTGTTAAAAATGAAAATCCAAGAGCATCTGTTTAATTTCTAATGTGGAACTTTTCTTTATTGTTATGTTGATAGAGGGATTGTTTTTACTGATGCGCAAAGTATTGCCATGTGAAAAACTGACTGTGGATCCACTGAGGGCCACTGAGGTTCGTAAGTTCGATTCTTCATAGTTAAGCTATAGTTAAAGACAATTCTTCATAATACGTTTGGCATTTATTTTGTATGCTAATTGTCATTTAAAGAACTGTTATTTACTTTAATTATGTAGGAAGATGGTTTTATTCTCTGTGAGAATTTATTTGTGTTTATTTGTACTTATTATTTTAGTTCTCACGACGTGTTTGGTATGTTGGAGTGACGACGGATGTTTCCAACTGGAGGGGAACTATACAAAGGGATGCACTTCCAAGAAAACCATTGAAACCTTTATGAACTAGAGCTTCACTGCCGTGTTTGTACACTCACCCAAATAATTCTATTTCTCCATGGAGCACCTTTCAAAAACATAAAGCGGCTCAAATAAGGCACATAAGCCACATTTTATTTTGTATAAGTAATTTATCTCCAGGTTATTGCTTGAAATAAGTCTTCGATGCAAAAGACTAACATACGTTTTAATTTGGAAATGAAACAAACACAGAAATCAGATGTTTCTGGTTGTCAAACACACATTTTTGGAGGAATTCGCTTCCACTCTTCCAAACAGCATACGCCTCTTTACTGGATATTTCGGGCTACACAGAGTTTATGTGCCATCCAAATATCTTCAATTTGGTTCAGAAATTTAGAATCAACAGGACCTTGATATTCAATGCCATCTTCAACAGAGTTGCTGTCTGATTTGTTCTTTTTTTAGCATGTTTGTCATGTTTTATGGTTTCAAACAAAGACACATCATGTGTTTTTAAAATTTAATTTTATAGTATGGGAAATCCATATACATAATGGATGTCACCCATCACCCCCCATGAAACACATAACTTCACACAGATGAAGAGGTAATAAGTCCACACCCAGGCCTAATTATATCTACACCTATTTGCAAGTAATAAATGACTTGCCTGACATTATTGGACCTGCCTCACAAAGTAAAGCAGACCAAAAGATCTTAGAAGTCTAGATATCATGCCGAAATTCAAAACAAATGAGAAAAAAAAAAAACAAATTCGAGATCTATGACTCTGTAAAAGGGTATACAGCCGTTCCTAAAGTTTGGGGGCTGCAGTGAACAACAGTGAGAGCCATGCTCCACAAACGGCAAAAACATATAACAGCCAACTATCCAAAATTACTACTGGACTCACTTTTCTCAGTTAAGGTGAATGTTCACTATAAGAAAGAGACGGGGCTAAAATGGTTCCAAGATAAAAACCCCTGCTGAGCAAACCCCCCATCCAAAAAAAAAACATAAATGCTTATCTCACTTTTGCAAGATAAAAAATAAAAACATCTGAATGACATCCGGAAAATTTTTCACGAGAAAAAATTGTGTTTTTTGGAAGGTTATGTGTTATCTTGTTATCCTGTTATGTGTGGCGTAAAAGTAATACTGCATTTCAGAAAGACACTTTGGAGTGGCCCAGTCAAAGTCCTGAACTGAATCAAAGTCCTGATGCTGTGGTATGAAGGAAGTTAATGCTCGAAAGCCCTCCAAAGTGGCTGAATTACAACAATTGTGCAAAGATAAATCAGTTAAAATTCCTCTACAGCGCCATAACAAACTCACTACAAGTTATCGAAAACATTTGATTGCAGTTGTTGCTAAGGGCGGCCCACCAGTTAATAAATTAGGGGGCCAAACACTTTTTTTCACACAAAGATACTGTAGTTTTGAATTTAGTTTTCCCTTAATAATAAAAACCTTCATTTAAAAACCTATGATTTGTTGACTTGTGTTGTCTTTGTTATTTACATTTGCATGAAACATTAAATGTTAAAAAAGAACAAATCAGTAAGAGGGCAATAACACACCACGTTACTAAAAATCTGGTATGGTCCTTGCTGTTCTCAGGGTTAAAGCCTCTATTTCTTCGGCTTCTTAATGACCATATATGGCGAAAGATGGAATTTGTTCATTTTACAGTCACATTGACGTCCATAAATAAACATGCTATATTAAATTTGTGTCGAAACTACTCCCTGTCTCAGCGATAAGAATTTTTACGAGTAAAAATAATCTCAAATTAGAACATCGCAAACCATAAAAAAGGAAAGTTGACCTTGAAAACCGCACTTTGAAAACAAAATATGTTTATAACATAAATATGTTTAAAATTTGTTTTTGCTATATGTTGTTTTAAATAACTTTAAATGAAATGGTGGAGGGGGTTGTTATTTGACCTCACTGGAGGAAAAGGGGATGGGGGTTATATGGTTATGGCTTTTGGCCCACTTTCTAGTTTGTCTTGTACAATTTGGCCCTTGGGTAAAAATAATTGGGGAGATGCAGATCACCGAACAGAGGTGCCCCTGTTTCTGCAAACTCAATGCTGAATACTTTATTTAAATACTGCACCTCAGCATTGAAATTCGACTGCCACCTATTGGTTTGGTAGTCTCTTTACGGCATTGATTGGGATTTTTTTTGTACACAAATTGAAAAAAAAAACCTTGATATGGACAGCACCATAGTCTGATTTGTTGTGTGTTGAACTGGTATGATTTGTGTGGGTAAAAATGCAGTTACTCTAGGGAATGATTCGAGGCTAGGAAGCTTATAATGAAAGCTAACATTTGTACTTATTTTGTTGCAATCAAATGGAAATTACAATATGACTTTCTGAGTTGTTTCTCAGATTGTCTCCATTAAAGAATATCGCAAATATGAAAACTTGGGAAAATGTGAAAAAACAGCGTAGAATACATTTAGCAGACACTTTTATCCAAAGTGATTTACATTTGAAAGAATGAACACATTTTTGTCAGTTCTTACTTTCATTGGGATTTGAACCCACAACCTTTGCATTTGTAGCACAATGTTTTACCAGCTGAGCCCCAGGAAAGCTCAGTTGACTCAATAGAATTTTTTCGATTGGTCATTGTAGTTATCATCGTTTAATGTGTCATTACATTTAAAAAGAACGCTTGCTCCCGCTCTCTCAAAATACAAGAGTCATCATCCTCTACTATTTAATGCTAGGTGCACCAAGAGGCTGCAGGTTACAATGTGCTTTAATACAGATCAAACAAGACCTTGACATTCTTAGCTATTTTTCAATGATGGTACATGTTTTTTTTTATTAATGGTTTAAATGATGAAATAGTTTCAGTAGTTCACAATTACAAGCTGACAGTGTTGTAGTGTTAGATTTGATGCCTTGTTAGAGATGGAAGGAAATGAATATCAAAATAAGTGAGGCTTTGGAACGGCCTCATGAAGCAATGGTTAATAAAATGTCGTCGTGACGGCATCCTTAAAGAAGATGCACAATGAAAAGTCACTGGTTTGTTGGGATGTCAATGCAATGAGCTGAATGTGGGCAACCTGACACAGCAGGCTGATTGATAATCAGCTGAATTGTGTGAAGCCAGGCATGGGGCAGTACTTTGGAGATATCACTAAGTCATAGATGAATTAGAGACAAGTTTTTTTACGTGAATATAAAAAAAACCTTGTTTTTCCAGCTACAGTTGCTAAATTCATTTGATGAATTGATGCTTTGGTTATTTGTGTGTGCTTGCATCACTTTTAACAAATATCTGATTGCAGTGAGGTGGTGGGATGTAGATGGCACACTTTAGTGATCATTCTCGAGAGTCACATGCTTCGCATTAAGACTGATGCAACCTTTGCATCTGGGTTTGTAATACTTCATCGTATTGCTGAAAAAAAAAACTTTGTGTCTCCAAGCCTCGAAAACTACTTTCCAGTTTATATTAGCAGGAAACCAAACATATTTTATTTTTTCATAAGATGAACACACAAGACATATTTCCCTTCTGAATGGGCCAGTGCAGTGTGATGAGATGCTATTTTTCTCAGTTAACCTTGGTTTGGCTTGCATCTCCACAACTAGCTTGAAGGTACAATGCACAGTTCAGAATTAGTGTTTTGTCTAATTGGTGGCAAAAATTTCAAGAAGTTTATTTCTACTTTAGAAGGTGATCATGCCATCTTTGCCTCATTCAGCTGGCTGTGTCACATTTGTTCTCATAAGTTTACCCACCTTGAAAAGTTTTTCATTTCTTGTCAATTTTTCTAAAAATATGAGTGTATTTTTCCACTCCTAGGTAGTTGGTGGGTGATGCCATTTATTGTCAAACAACTGTGTTTATGCTTTATAAATCATAACTAGACTTTAAAGTTTGCACGCAAACTTCGATGTTGGCTTGTGTTGGTGCCGTTAATACCTATTTTTTATGTTGTCGATTCCACAACAATAACATTATGCAACCCCCATGTCACTATGATTCTCATAAGCTGAGATAGAGATGCGCCATATTGGTTGCTATGGTAACCCGTCTGGTTGCTATGGATGAGTCGTTGACATAATATAATGTTTCAGCTGTCACTATGGGTGAAGGTTACCAACCCTCAAGTCTCTAGCATTTTCCTAAGCTAAGATAGAGATGTTGCAATTTGGTTGCTATGGAGGAGTCAGTGACATCACGTTGTGATCTACTTTCCATTTAGACTAATATAAAGCAACCCCCATGTCTCTACTGTGTTTCGTTTAGAAGATGTTTGACATTGAAAGTTATGTCAAAAAGTGGGTGTAGCTTAGTGATTTTATGTTAATTCGCAAGCAATGATTGGCTGGATAAGTGATTTGCTTCCTTAATGCTTGTATGACTTTCCAGTGTCAACCAATTACAGAAGCTCTTTCACAATAGGATCCATGGGGTTCATGCTCCATTCATTTCAATGGGCCATTGAAAGTCAATGAAGACACCTTTGACTGATTAGCAATCAGTTGCACCTGGAGCCATGTCTGCTGGAAAGCAAAGCCTCAAATAAATTAAGATTATAGAAGAACCGTAAGACATATTGAAAGTTTAAGTGCAATAACAATATGATGGCTTTGCAAGCAAACCAACATAATGACACCAGTACCATGAATGTGGCCAAACAAACTCAGTATTACTGGATTGGTTTTGACTTGATAAAACCAAACCTCTTGAATCTGGCTCAGTTGGTACCATGAAGCAGCTCATCAACTTTCTTTGTCAAGTCAGGCTTTGATCCTTAAGCTGCGATTAGTTCACAGCGCGTGCACATAGAAGACTGACGTAGGCACCAAATAACCAATCACGATGAATAATGAAAAGAGCAAGATTATTTTATTTCTCTGCGGAGGAGCAAAAGATCAAAGTTTGGACGATGAGTTTGGCAGAAAATTGCTGACTGTGTGAATATGTAAGTTAACGATGTATATTCTGTATTAATGTAAATTGAGTTTCAAGCGAGATATGTGTATGATAATGGTAGAATATTTTTGGCGTGTTAATACCAATACGTTTTACTTTTAAACCTAATGTTAATGTGGTTATAGTTGCATTACAAAATAAAGTAAATGCTTATTTGTCTACATACTATATGTATGTTTCATTTTAAAAGGTGAATGTCTTTATAAATGTTTTTCTTGTCCGAAAAACTTTTGTCTATACTTTTATCAATTCTGGGCTGTGTTGCATACACGTTTGAGTTCTCTCCAGAGTGGTTCAAAGATTTTGAGGTCAGTAGACTGAGATGTCCACTCCAGAACCTTTTCTTTGTTCTGGTGGAACCAATTCCTTGTATCTTTCTTGTACACAGGTGTTTGGTGAGCGCAACCACCAACAAAAAGTCATGTTCTTATTCAAATTATTAACACATAAACCTTTAATCTTTAATCTTAGACCAAAACCTAACACACACCAACATCACGCCACGGTGAAAATTATTTGGCCTCATTGTCCGTTACCTTCACACAATTAGCGTAGGCCTTAAATAACACGCACAGGCCCCCCTCCCTCTAGTGACAACAATCAAAAAATCTCCAACACCAATGATCAGTGGACTTGGCCTTGTGTTTTGGATCGTTGCTGTGTGTAATGATGTTGCCTCATATACATAAAGTCAACACCCTCCCCTGAGTCAAATATGAACATTGCCATGTTTATGTGGACTATGTAACCGCGGTCAGAACTATGTGTGCCATCCGGGAAGTAAAGGGGGGAACAAAATGTCATAGGTCGACTTTTGATGTACACATGTATAACAGTGAGATTAGTCTGAGCATTGAGGTTTCATTGAATCGATGTTCTTGGGGTTAACTTGTGAAAGAGAGTGCGAACGTGTTTAAATCTTTCTCAGGCAGCTCGACATTTCTCTCCTATGTTTGGTTGCACCAAAATCACTGTTGATCACCATGGCGTTTATAAAGAGAGAGGGGGGGGGGGTATGTCCGTGTTGGAATGTCCAGTAACATCCCACGTCTCCAAAACATCACTGTTCCACCTCCGTGTTTCACAGTGTGGATGTTGTTCCATTCATCTTAGGCCTTGTTGACTCCTTGGTTTTGGTCTCATTGCTCCAAATAACCAGAAGTTTGGAGGTTTGTCTCTGAGCCATTTGGTATATAGTAAGCAACTACTTCATGGCATTTGCGCAGTAATGTTTTTTTTTTGGCAACTCGACTGTGCAATTTTTTTTAAGCGTGTCGTAAAGTATGTCTGCTCTCATTAGGATTTAAAAGTTGCTTTGCAATAAATGGCTTTACCCAATCACTCACTGGGAGTCTGAAAAAATGGTTTTGTGTTAACATTTATATTTCTGAAGAAGAAGAAAATGTATATTGTACAAAATGTATTGTATGTATTCAACTTCATTGAAGCTCATTTTGGCTTCTGTAGGCTGGTGTCCTGGCATATAACTTATCCAATTCCAGCTACCGCTACCGCTTTCCGTCTCATTCTATAAGGCACAGAAGTGCCTGGGTTATAACTTTGCAATCAGAGACATATTGAATCATTATTGTGTGTTTATAGTTCACACTAGAGTCACTAAAGGGTTCCAGGCAGCACAGCAGCGCTGTCAGGCTCAAGTGCTCATACATAAGTGAAAGCATAAGTGGCTTTATGGAAGGAGGTTGAGGTGTTGTCAAGGACAACTTCAGCACACTTTTCTTTCTTTGTAAACCTTTAAGACGAATGGAAAATTAAATGGAATTGCTTTTAAATGGTGGATTTTTTCCATGCTGTTGAAGAAGATATGAATAAACTCATGCCAGTTAGATGGCGGCCATTTTACAAACATTAAGATTTGTGTACATTTGTAAATAGGAGTCATAAAATCAAGTGCATGAATGAGGAAGGTTGTCTAAATATGCAAGATTGCTAGATTGATTAATAACCCCTGGAATAATTAGTACATATTTACACAATACAAACTACATAATTACACATTATAATCAATTTACATACAATTTTGTACATTCCCCTTTATCTTTGTATGGATGTTTGGTTAAATTACAAATAGCCCGTATGAAAAGCTAAAACCCTCCAAATTATATTTAATGCACTGAAATAAATTAATTTCACTGAAAAAATGTTTAAGCCTCAAATTCAAATTTTAGCAAGACAACAGTTTTGTCACCTGTAAAACAAATTTACTGCAAATACAAAAATACGTCAGCAAATGAAGTAGTGGTGCTGTGTGATCTAATCAGAAGAATTAATCTTCTGCCCCTGTTCCAGTGTCCATCATTTAGCAGATTGTGTGCCTTGGCAAATGCCACACATTTTTTCAATTGTCTTTAGTGCTGCTTCTGGGCACTGTTTTGACCATTTCGACAGAATCCGACAAACGGTTTTGGTTGACACAGGGACTTACGTGAGTAGGTCTCCTGGAGCTCTGCTGCAGTAAAAAAAATCAACAGACTTTCGAGCAAACAAATGGTCCTCTCGAGCAGTTGTCTTGTGGAGTCTGCCTGACCTGTGCTTGTCAAAAATCTCTCCAGTCTCTTCAAATCTTTTTTGAGTCTCTGTACTTGACGCTGAGACACACTGAAGGTCTGCAACATA